AGCAGGAGCGTCCACCCCCTCCCGGGGCAGCCTGTGCCAGGGCTCCGGCACCCTCACAGTAAAGAAGTTTCTCCTCATGTTGAGGCGGAACGTCCTCTGTTCTAACTTAAACCCATTATTACTGGTTCTGTTGCTGGGCACTACTGTGAAGAGACGGGCACCTTCCTCTTGACCCCCACTCCTTGGGTATTTATATACATTAATAGGGTCCTCTCTCAGCTTTCTCTTTTCAAGGCTGAACAGCCCCAGTTCTCTCAGTCTCTCTTCACAGGAGAGATGTTCAAGCCCCTTAATCATCCTCATAGCTCTCCGTTGGACTCTCTCCAGTAGGTCCCTGTCTCTCTGGAATTGGGGAGCCTGAAACTGGACCCAGTATTCCGAGTGTGGTCTCAGCAGGGCAGAGTAGAGGGGCAGGAGAACCTCCCTAGACCTGCTGGACACACTGTTCTTAATGCACCCCAGGATCCCATTGGCTCTCTTGGCCACAAGGTCACATTGCTGTCCAGGGACAACTCACTGTCCACTGGGACTCCAGGGTCTTTCTCCATGGGGCTGCTTTCCAGCAGGTCAGCCCCTAGGGGTGAAGATGTATGGATCACTTTCAGAAGTCTAATCTTAAAGCCAAGAGTTTGTATACAGTAGGATAATACATGTATTTGAAATGTTCACTGCAATTTACTGAAGTGTAGAAAGAGATGTGGTGTTCTGGTGCAGGGTAGAAGTCTCACTAACTTTGAGAAATGTAAACTGCTACATTATAACATAGAGTAGGGTCTAAATGGAAATTCTGTCAAATATCATATGATGCCGGCCATCATGTGGATGACTTAGCAAACTTTGCCATCGTTAGTTACGATCTTCTTGGTTTTTATTTTTTCTTGGCTACATTTTTGGTTGCTTTTACTTTTTGGGATGCTGATTCCAGTGACTGTAACCCTTTTCCTGTGCCTGTTGCAAAGAGGAGCCCCTTGGCACGTAATTGAAAGTCGACACTTAAGGTAGAATCACAGAATAGAATTATAGAACGTGTTGGGTTGGAAGGGACCTGTGAAGGTCCTCTAGGCCAGCTCCCGCGCAGTGAGCAGGGACATCCTTAAGTAGATCTCATTGCTCAGAGCTCCATCAAGCTGATACACTGTCTGTTCAGGTTGCAATCATCAAGCAATCACTGCATGTCTGTTACCTGCACTGAGGACTAAGTTTGTGGCTGTGTCCTAGTTCTGTGACAGTCAAGGCCTGGACAAGAACCTTCCCTTGTGCACCGTGCTTTCCGTGTGAAGACTATTTAAGGGTGTTGGCAGGATTGACATGATAACGAGCTCAGGAGTATCACCTAGAAATCAGGTCTTTGCTTCAGAGAACTAGTGTTCACAGGGAAGTTTTCTTTCAAAAATGACACCATAACCTTATAACCTCTTATTCAGAAACTGAGGATTAATAATTTAAAAAACAAAGGCATTTGATTGCATTTCTTTAGTGGCAAACCAGGCTAGCTAGTCCTTTTAACTTTCAGTCGTGTTTAAAATAATCAGATAATCCCTTTTAATTTGTATAAATCATGAGTCTAAAAGCTGGAGAGGAAACAAGACTTTTACTGTTTTAGTCTTCATTTTTTTGTTGTTTTATACAAGTGTTGGTACAGTGAACATTAACTAGAATATAGCACAAGCCTCAAGTATCTGTAAAGTGGATGCTTATGATAATTCTGTTCATTACAAATTTATTTAGTGTCATGATTTGGGGATGGTGTAACTTTTATGGATAATATCAAACAGGAATAAATTTGAGGTCAGCAAGCATACCTTCCACCAAACTGTATCCGCTTAATTTTTCATCTGAGACTTTTACATAGAATATTCACATAACAAAACAAAAAATCTAGTTTTGCAACGCTTTTGTTCTAAGCTTTTTAACCATTTTAGAAGTTAAAAGTCTTAACATTTAGCTTGGTGTGTGTGATTTTTTTGGTTCTGTTTTGAATGCTACCTACCTGTTTATACTGTGTTTATTAATTTATTTATTTTTTTTTGTAACTAGGGAAACCCTTCTGTTGGTGTCTGATGTGCTAAATCAAGAGCAAAGATTTGTTTAGCCGTTCATTCTTTTTGCAGGTAAAGAAAGCCTTTTTTGCCTTGGTGGCAAACGGTGTGAGAGCAGCTCCCCTGTGGGAGAGTAAAAAACAGAGTTTTGTAGGTAAGTAGTTCTAAAATTCAAGTTTACTTGAATCTCCAGGGTGTTTTTCTGTTGCAGAAGGTGGCTAACCATTGTCTAACGTCCTAGAGACACACTGGCAGAGAGGGTTTCCTGTTACTTTTTGTGAGGAGTGAAGTGCTGCCAGCTTTCCTAGTGTTGCTGTGTTTCGAGAATCACAATGATCCTTTTAGATCCTCACCTTGTGAAATTTGGTCTCTAATATGCACATTTCACTGTGTAGTTAAAAGGAGAGATAACGGTCACAAAGAAAGAAATTTGGAAACAGGAACTATAAAAAAACCTTAAGAGCATCCTGCTGTGTGTGTTGAGGGTTAGGGCTGGGCTGGCCCCCGAATAATCCAAGCGTGTCTTTCTCTGCACATTCTCAGTAAGGTGTGTGGAAAAATATTTAAATACCAGAACTAAATATTGATTACTACAGATGCATCCCATATTGTGAGAAAAATATTAGATCTGTGTATTGGGTTTTTAAAAGTCGTATAATTCCACAGCAATAATATTTCAGAGTTAAATCTCTGTTGCACTTAGAAAATAGGGTCATAGTGGCAGTTACAAATATTATATATACTTCTTGTGACCTAGAATATAGATTGAGCACTCTTGTAAACTAATGAGAAATACTTCTACAAAACATTTGTTAAACTATTTTAATCCAAGGAGGGAGGAACACTAGTTTCATGCATCAATAGGAATACTCTGTGTTTTTTACATTTAATTTCATTTTCTGTCCGTCACTTAAGTTGTAGTCATTTGACGCTGACCTCTGGATTAATTTTTCCCTTCCTCATTTCTTAGTTTCTTCAGTTTAGATATAAGAGTAGTAAACAGTGGAGCAATTTACACCTTCTCAAATTTAGAACTTGAAAGGTCAAAATAAGATTAATGTTTTCAGGTAACTAAACTGATCAACAGTATTATCTAGTTTGGTGTTGGTGATTAAAATGTATATTCTATGGATGTACTATGTCTTTTTTAAAGTCAAATTTCAGTAGAGACTTTGAGGATTACAGTGGAAATGGTTGAATCAAGTTCTCTAATAAGTAATATTCAAGGAATGTTGCTTCATTTGAGTTTGAGAGTCTGCCTCACTTGGCAAGTTCCTAATGAGAGTGTGTCTGATTCCAAAAGAAAACGAGAGGCAAGGATAGATCTCCAGCCTTTAAAGATTTTCTTTCAATGCTTTTGGAGGTGGAGGCAGTCTGGATTCAACATTTTCTTTGATTCAGATTGAAAGAAGGAGTCCATAGATTGTCATTTTGAATATTAATTCAGACATATGTTCTTATACTGAAGTATTGTATCAATGTGAAAGTGAATACGCATAGTTTTGAAATTCCACTGTTGATTAGTCCAATGCATGTAGTGTTACATGGATTTGAAGTTTATTAAATTATATATTGTGAATATAAATAGACAAAATAGCTGGAAGTTCTATATGTTAAGTATATATCTGAAGAACTTTTCTCATGTGTCACTTGTTACAGGAATGTTAACAATTACAGATTTCATTAACATACTGCATAGATACTATAAGTCTCCAATGGTGAGTATGATGTTAAGCTTTACTTTTATCCTTTGCCATACAGTACAGAGACTGAAATACCCAACTGAAAGATTGATGAGGATTGTTACTGTTATTTAAGCCTTTAGAAGCTCAGATATCTCATGGTTGTCCTCACTGTGGGGGGTTTTATGAGAGAGAAAAGATGGCTTTTGGGGCAAGGTGCTAAAATGGAACCTGGATACCTGGGTTCAGTTCTCAGCCATGAAGGTCCTGTGAGCTGGAGCAGGTTAATGTGCTCTGTCTGCTTCAGTTATACATGCATAAACCCGAGGAATTTCCTTAGTGAGTACTACCATTTATTAAGTTTTGTGTGGTGCTTACTGTAATGATAGCCTTTGTTTTGGTTATGAGGCTCCACTTAAGTGTTGCAGCTAATGGATGATGCATTTGGGATGAAGGATTTGGCTTAAGGTACCTACTTTTAATATCACATCTGCTTTTTAGTATGAAGGACAGTACTTGATCACTGTATTTTTATTTGTGTTCAAGTTGTTTCAAAGCATATTTAAGTAGTAATCAGAATTCTATATAAATGGCGAATATTGACCAAAATGTGTTTGTGGAGGATGTCTAGGTTAATGAAAAACTTCATTGTATTTACAAATCAAGTATGCGGCTACGTGTGGTTCACGTTTGTATCATCACATTTGCCTCGTAACAGCGATAATGCTATTCCAAAAGGACTATGTGGAGTTAAGCAGAACGCTAGCTTACAGAGGCGTGGATGCGTTAAGTGGTTACTCTGTTCTTGGAGTAGAATAAACAAGTTAAACTAGTTAAATATATGCAAATATTTCAGTTACATGGCTGAGTTGCACAATCAGTTGGAGATCTGGTGACTTTCAATTAATTGTGATTTAAAATTCCCATTGGCAGTCAGTTGGTGAAGTTTTCTAGCTTGCGTGTTCCTTCAAAAACATTTACATCCCTTTCTTGTTCCTGTCAACTCACAATTCCCACCAATTAAAACATATGTACTATGTTTTACTAGCTAAAAAATCAAGAACCGTTGAATGGAGCAGACATCTGATGTGTTAGGCTTCTCAAAACTCATGTTAATTTTTAAAATCTATAATGAAATTCTTGTCAGATGCCAGTGGAGTGACGCAATGTCCTTTCTTCTTGTTAAGGGTTATTTTTTTTTCCTCCCTCTGGGGATTTACAAGTGGTGAAGGGAGAAACAAATGGAAAGTGTTTGCATGCTATTGTACTGACCCTCAATGTCAATACTGCCAGTTTTTCCATGTAACTACCTGTGGTCTGGCTGTCATCACTCCTTTTTTTATGTTGTCTGACATCTTATTCAATAGGTTGTGTTTAAAATGGCACCATAAGGAGGAATAGCTGAGAGGTGACAGCATTTAACTGAAGTGATTGATGCAGTCTTCTATTTAAATAAACAATGTAATAAATAAAATAATGTTCCATCAGGGAATGCTGTAGTCTCAATAGGTAAAATGATGCTGGAAATTACAGTTCTCTTCAGTGTTTTAGTCATTCTTCCTAAATACATCACAGCACATTCAGTGTGAAGCATGTTGGTGTTCATGGACTAGATGGTACCTTAAGATGACTGATGGGGGAGCGTCCAGGTAGTTTCGCCCCATAGTGTGGTCCAAGAACTAAGTTTAATCTCATCAGCATCTAAAGTGGTCTCTTAGTCTTTTGGTCACTTGAGTAGTTCTTGTGAGCTGCACTCCACTGTCTTAACTGCCTTTTTTGTCAAGTGCCCTAAATTATTTAACTTGCTTCTATGGGCACCTTTTACATCAGCCAAAACCGGTAGGTTTGAGTAGTCTGATTTATGCATCAATTTACATTCCTTTATATGCTTTGAGGGATGCTGACTCCAGAGAGTAATCTCAAGTGTAGTCTCCCTCAGCTCACAGGTGAACGTGATGGGCTTTGTGGAGACTTCAAGCTGTCACCTCTAAACTCTTCAGCTTGAGCAGAGGTACCTGGCAGGGACGAGTGAGGGATGACGGGCACCTCTGACCTGGGCTATAGCGAGTGCAATTACTAGTTCCAGCAGCTGCCTTGGGCTTGCAGCTTGATACCTCTAGAGAAAGAGAGCTTTCACAGCTGAAACATTTTTAGAAAGCCGTCAGCAAGATGGAAGCAACTGCTGTTACACAATCTTTAGGACTTTGTGAAGTAGCAGCAGAACAGCAGGAAGTTGGTGATGTGACTGTGTCTTCTTCTGAGTCTGTTTGAACTTCAAAGGCTGAACTCTGGAGAGTTGTTTGCTGTTCCTGATCTGATAAGCTGCCATCAAAAGGTGCAGATTGCCACATCCTTTTCCCAGTATGGTTTGCCTGTCCTTTTTGTGAGCCGGTTAAGGAAGCTAAACCAGCAGAAATCTAATTATTTTTGTAACTTTTTTGCTTGTCTGGTTCCTGCGTCAGAGAAGCAACATTGCAGGCACGGGAGAAGTGCAGAGTGCCTGCATGGCTTAGATGTAGAGTCCAAAAACATTTGAAGAATGTAACATCAGTAAAAGATTAAACTTGAGGGGGCAGGGAAATCTAGTGTTGGTTCTTCTCATGGAACGAAGCACTAAACCAAGTGCTCATGGTTGGTTGTAATCAAGTAGCAGTAAAATTCATCTGTCAGCGTTAAGAAGTGATGGGGGTAAGCTTTTTGCTGCTTTGGCTGCGTGAGGAATCATCAGAGGACTTACTTTGGCATGACTGTTTTAAGGTAAGATAAATTACTGAGGAGAGGCCTTTGAGTCTTGAAGAGATCTAAGCTACAAACACAGGCAGGGGAAAGACCTTTCCTGCCCGGTATGATACTCAGCACTGAGCAGGATTGTGCCCTTTCTTGTTGTTTTTGAGAAATGTTCTTCTGAACTGTTCTTTCTCTGTTAGATTGCCTGCGGTGGAAGGAAAAGTATTCAGATGTTTATGATGTTGTTAATGATTTTTCGTTTAATATTGATGCTTCAAGCTGAGGTTTCCGTCTATCTGTTGTAGGTTCAGATTTATGAATTGGAGGAGCACAAGATAGAAACCTGGAGGGGTAAGAATATTTACTGCTTGGCTGATAATTTAATATGTTCTAATTTTTTTCAGTGTAATAGATCTTAACTTGTCTCTCTCCACATACTTTTTGATGAAAGGAAAAATAGTAAAAGCTTGTCCATTGGCCCCTGCTGGTTATTTTTCTGTCTGAAAGACTGTGTGGGCTATGTACTACTGTGCCACTTGTTCACTCTTAGTACCATCTCGATCTTAAAGAATGATTTCTTAAAGAACGCTGTCACTGTACAGATGATGAGTAGAAGTGAAATGGAAATGTCAGGATGCAGAATGAGTAGCTAACCCTACGTATTGAGGGAGTTAACGGATGGGCAGCAAGCTGTGCCCGAGTGGATTGTGTGATGTGACCAGAAATTTGTACAACGTGCTGGGTGTAAGCAGAAGGGCTGAATGCTGGGAGGAAACTATCTTTTTAAAAAAAAAAAAAAAAAAGACTATGCCGTTGGATAGTACCAGAAGTACTCTCAGACCCTCACAGCAAAGGAACTGTTCAAGAAGGATTTGTTGTTGTTGCAGGGACCCCTGGTGGCCATCAGCCTGGTCGGGGTGTCTTTTCGATGTCGCTACCGAGGAATGTGCATAAGTGGAATAACTAAAGTGACTGTATATGTTGCTATCTTCCACTTAATTTTATACGAAAGAATTAATAAAATGCTTTCATGAAGAAGTTGATGTTTTCATATAAAGTTGTAACAGTGTATTAATTTTCTATACACAGAGCTTTATTTACAAGAGACGTTTAAACCCTTAGTGAACATCTCTCCAGATGCAAGGTAGGATTTTTCTTTTCAATCTGCTTAACTTGATATAAACTAACTCTGCTTCAACACTGAATTTAAGCCTTCTTATTATATAATAAGAAACAATTTATATTGTGAACTAGAGTGAAGGATGATTGTGAACAATTAGTGAAGGATACTCTTCTCATGTAATCAAGAAGGTGTGGGAGCTTTTTATTGTGAGGACTTTAATTATACAAATAACAGAATTTTTAGTTAAACTTTTGTCTTTTATCAGTGTAACTGTTCTGGTAAATAAACTAGATGTGGATCAAAATTATTGCCCTAAAACATGCAAAAAATACAGCATGATGACCTTTCAAGCTATTCTACCAGTCATATTTGTTTCATGAAAATCAAAACGAGTACAGGGTCTTTCAGCAGTCATAGTAATTGAAAACTTTCAGTACTTTTCAGTGCAAGTAACTTTCCTTAACTAAAGGAAAGACTTTATCTGTATGGTTTTGTTCTGCTCTAGCACTAGGTTCTGTTCCTTAAAATATATCTGTAGTCCTTTCCCTGATGGAATTCTGAAAGAAATAGTTTATAAACTGTCATTATAGCTTATTTATCAAAGGTACTTTGAGAGAGAGCTTTAGCTGATCACTTAACAACTAGCGCTGAATCGCTGAACCAGAGGGTGGAGTTGTGATTCTTGCTCTCACATGTGGAACGGGATTGCTTCTGCCTTGTCAAAGGAAACTGGTGAAGGAGAGCTCGAGTGATACCTCGAAGTGATGATATGCTCTGTCCTCAACTGAATTGCCATTGTCATGAACACAGCATTCAGTTAAGTTATAAGGAACGTGTTTTGAACGGTACTTGGCTGCCAAGAATATCACTAAGACAACAAAATAGTATAATTGTTTTCAGTGAAAGGCACAGCAAGAGAAGTATTGCAATAGAGAAGATGCGGTAGGACGTGTGTAAAAGGACACAGCAAGTCACCTTAGGACCTTACCAGATATGGATTTGGGTTCTGTGACAGTCCAAGCGCTCAGGAGCTGCTAAATGTTTGCTCCTGGAGTGGAATCAACAGTGAGTGGGGGGAATCTTGACTCCACGTGTATCCAGTGGGGTTAGTTAATCCCTCTAGGGAGCTCAGAGCATAGTTTGTTGAGTTTGGGAGAAGCCTACTTCGGCAAGGAGGCGATTCTCAGAGTTCTCTTACTTACTAATTTATTTCACTTGGTGGTCAGTTGTTTTATTATAGTCTTGCTAGGACCAAGGGAAAAAATTGGTTTTTGCAAGAAGAGCTGAGTTGCACAGATTGGAGTATTGCTGAATTGTAGCCTCCAATGTCTGGAAGAATTTTTGGATCTCCTAAGCATAACTTTTTTCCAATCCCCAGTGATAATTCAGTGAAATTATTAAATAATTGTTTGGGCTTAATTGCATATATATGCTTATCAATATAAATGCTCTTCGTAGAAGGTATTATAGAAGTTTGAGATGCATGAAGGGCAGGAATACTCCATTTTTCACTGTTTGAACAGAAATAATCTGTTCTGAGAGTAGGAATGCTGTGAGCACAGCATTCAGTGAAAAAACAATTTACACTTGTGAAAAAAATATTTCTGCTATACTTTCTACCACAGAAAGTCACTTTCCATCACATTTTCTTTCCTGGTTTTAGGTGTTCATGAGCATATCATTGTTGACGTGTTTTAGCAGCTGCAAAAATTAGTTTGAAGTCTCTTCTGTTTTCTGTAATATTAAAGATAATGCTAATAATTACTTATCAGACGTATTTCACAAGGATTTATAAATATGTGTATGTATCACTTTGACATTACTTGTTGCCAGCTACAATTCAGTAAAAAAACTTCATGTTTTTCTCCTCAGCCTTTTTGATGCTGTATATTCATTGATCAAAAACAAAATCCACAGATTGCCAGTTATAGATCCAGTCAGTGGAAATGCACTTTATATACTTACCCATAAAAGAATCCTCAAGTTCCTCCAGCTTTTTGTAAGTATCTGAAGTTTTGCTTTGCTTAACTGGTATTTTCCCTCCAGTCAACATCTTTAATGTTAAATAATTTAAGTCTTAGTACTGAAACCTCTTGATGAACTTCCACGTTCATTGTGTCTGTGTGTTTTGATAACAGAGAAATCAGAGATCGACGTAGGACCTGTACATTGCCATTACTTTGTTTTAGCCATTTAAAGAAACCTGGACTTGGCTTGGCTGTTAGAGTAATTTGTTGTCGTTTCTGGAAGATCTGTTCAGCTTCAAAAGCTTGTTTACACGTAAAGAAAAATAAATTGTCTCCCAGAGAGGAGATTATCATTACTCACTGTAGCTTATGGTAGTCATGGGAATGAACAGGAGGCCAAACAAAGTAACAAGAGCTGAAAATAAGCATTCGGTGCCGAGTGTGTGGTGCTGTCTTCTCTCTAATGGCATAGCTTAGGGTCAGGAGCTTTTAGTGATGGATTAGTGCAAAACTAAATAAAGGAGCAAAAAGCTTAGTTGCACGGTCTTAATTTAGAGCTTCTTTGAACAGAAGTGATGCTTCTAGATCTGAGCTTGTTTTGTCTTTATGTGAATCTGGTAGGAGATTACTGTAATGATTTGTAGTAATTATTTGGAGTCTGTAGGTGGCTGAGTGAATATAGATTTCCTAACGCCAGTCATAGGGAAGCATGGTAGGTTTAAAAAACGTGGTGGCTGCAGAAAACAGCACTGTCAGTCCCTTCATTCTGTCTTTCCTAGATGTCAGAGATGCCAAAGCCTGCCTTTATGAAGAAGAATCTGGATGAACTTGGAATAGGAACTTACCACAACATTGCCTTCATACATCCAGACACTCCTATCATTAAAGCCTTGAATATATTTGTGGAGAGGAGGATATCGGCGTTACCTGTTGTGGATGAGTCGGGTGTGTGGTGGATCTTCTGTGTACAAAAGCGTGCTAAGATAAATGGTGCTGAACCCTGTGGTGATGTTGTGAGGGGCACGGGGGTGGTGAAGAGGAGAAAGAATAAAGAAAAATAAAAAGGCATGGGGGAGACAGGGGATATAAAGAAATATTCATGCAAGATGTAGGTTGATGGGCTTGGAAGAACTTCAGGGTTTGGGAGGTTGGTTGTGGGTTTTTTCCCCATCTTTCCTTTTTGACCTATCTGTGTTCTTTTTTTGTGTAACTATAAAATAATAAATGAAAGGAGGAAGCAAGAAAACTAATTTTGTATTTTAAGCGCTTTTTCTATTTTTTTTTAGGAAAAGTTGTAGATATTTATTCCAAATTTGATGTAATAGTAAGTATGTCTCTTAAATTCTATTAAATAATTTATATTGCAAAATATATTTTATATTGCAAAATAATTTGTTAATATCTCAATTCTGACTATTTTTGTTCCTTAGGGTCCAGTTAACAAAACGAATAAAACGGATTCAGTTCATCCTGCAAAGCTTTTTTTAATTATTTTTTTTTTCTTTAAGCTGTCCTTAACTTGCACACACGCAACTACTGCTCTGGATGCTACGCAAAATTAGATCTTGCTGTGTTCTTACAAAAAGAGGGCATAGGCTTTTAATGATTGTTTCTATTTTTGAGATAGATAGGATTTTCTTTTCTCAGCCACTGCCTTTCCACAGTCAGTTCTCAATGAGGATGCAGATTTCACCATGCCGTCAGGGTACTTTATATGACTTGACCTTCTCAGTGAATTAAAACTACTTTGCCCATTCTTTTACGTGACTCACCGACTCTAGAGTATGAGATTTGTGTTCCTTTTGGTTTAGATCCAACTGAGGCCCCTGTTTCTAGTTAAATAGGAAACAGGTTCTATTGATTATTTGAGATTTTCCTCACATGTATTTGCTTGCTTATTAAACAGGAGGGAAAGAGATTCTATTCTTTAAATGATAATCAATTCTGAGGCTTCTAGTTCATCATCAGTCTGCTTGAACCTGGTCTTCAAGCTTTAAAAGAAGAAAAAAAAGAAATCTGAAATATATAGTGTGATCTTCCAATAACATAGAATTTGCAAGATTCAGCTGGTGATTTTCAATGTCAAACCATGTGGCTAATATGCTTAATCAGTATTTTCAGATGTGCCTCTAGGTAGTGACTTGATGGTTGATAACTTCTTTCATTTTAACAGAGTTCTGAATTCATTTTCATGTTCTTGATGGCAGGAACCTGGGAATGTTGTGATGATAGACAAGGAGCTTTATATTACACTAGTTACTGGGTGTAGGGTGACTAAATTCTGCAGAAGCTTTTTTTTCCTCTTACTGTCCCTCATTAGGAATTAGTTATATGAGTTAGCTGAAACTGCCTGTATCTTCATGATCGCCTCAAACCTATCTTTTCATATTCAGTGTAATTCAGTCCAAAAACTTCATGAATCGGTGTATAATAGCCAAAAATTAATTTTGTTTTATGGCTTAGTCCAGTGCTTTAATTTTAAGGGTGTTTGTTCTTCCTTCAGTGCTTCCGCACACAAAATAATAGGCCAAGATGTTCCAACACTATAAAAATATTGCCATGGTCTCGCCCAGAAAGAGAGCTTTTGCTGATCTGGACAAAGTCATTTTCCTGTTCTTAAGAATGAAGGTTCAGAATATCAGCTTTCAAACTCTTTTAATCTTCTTTCAGTGATGGTGTGGCATTTTCATTTATATTATTTTTATAGGACTTAGTAAAATGCAGACACACACACACAAATCGCTGTCAAGTGGCACTGCCAGCACGGTCCAGGAGAGGGAGTTGGAGCCCACAAATAGGAAATGGGAAGACAATCCTTAACTTGTTCGCTACTTGGATCTCCACTAAGGTCCTACTTCATGGGTGGTGTTCAGAGCAGTTGGTGTCCTCCCTATTCTATGAAAAACAAACAACAAAAAATGGTATAGTCATAAAGTATATTCTGTGTATTTTAAAATCTGTAGAACTTCGTCTTTACATTTTCTACTCGCGGCAAAAGCAGGATGAGTGACATCCAGCCAAATATCAGATAGCAAAGTAAGGATATTTTCATTGGCCTACTGCGTATCACAAAACAGTTTTATCAAGTAACCCAGTCATATGGTGTTTAAAATAATTGCTTGCTTGACTGTTCCCAAAAACTGAAGCTGAAGAGCATCTGCTTTGCTTAATATGTGACTTGGAATAGACTCAATTTACACCAGAAATGTGTAGCTACTTGATGCCAAAATATTTACTTTATCGAGTACTTCATTACTACGTACTGAGATGTGTTATATGCCTTGCTTTGGTTGTGGTTTTTTTCAGAATCTTGCTGCTGAAAAAACATATAATAACCTAGATATCACGGTGACGCAAGCCCTACAGCACCGTTCTCAGTATTTTGAAGGTGTTGTAAAGTGTAGTATGCTGGAAACACTGGAGACCATTGTGGATAGAATAGTGAAGGCTGAGGTGAGTTCGCTTTTTATTTTTCCCCTTACTATAAGTTAAAAGTTGCGTTACCAAACTGATAAACACCTGAAATTTATCCTAAGTTGTTCTGGTTACTTGGTGAAAGTATTTTTTTCATAACCACATATGTTGGGTATCAGCTTGTTTTAAAGACTTAGATGGTAGATGCTTATAGGAATATGCAGAATATTGTAAAGTACACCTGTCATAATACTCAGTTATTTTTGTTTCATGTTATTAACTGCATGATATGCAAAGCTTCTTGGAAAGAATCAAATTTCTTTCAAGCCTGCCATAAGTTTTGCAGAAAACTTTAATTTTTTTTTAATTCCAGTTTATAGTCAGATTGATCAACATGTTGCTCAGGAAATTTAATGGGCGCAGTTAGTTAGTGCGTACAGAGTCCTACACTGCTCTTGGGGAAATACCCTGAAACAGAACTAGAAAAAAGTTCTTGTGAAGAAGCTTTCACTAACTGTTCTTGTACAAGACTTACCTGTGCACTTTCCATTCTCTTGGTGCTCTTTAACTTGTCAGTACTGGGAGGTTCCTTGTATGTGGTGGTGAGCAAGTGTGTGGGTCTTTAGTACCCGTTTTGGTTGTCTCCAAGGTGTGATCAACTCCATTTAATTTTTAAGTTCTTCAGTTACAGGATTTTTTTTTTTCCATCTTCGGTGCTGTAACTGTACATATACTTGATATGAGTAAAACTACTTCTTTGTTACTAGCCCCTTAGAACCTCTATTAGGCAATGTTTCCTTGTAACTTTCTGCATCTGCTTGATTTTCTTCCTGAAATTGAATAATTTTTTAGCATTGCTGATACACAAATTTCAAATTTGGATAATTTTATTACTATCGGAAGAAGCTTTAGATGTTTGGATTTAAGAACAACTCTTACTTTTTGGTTCAGTCTAAGCATAGTGAGTTTATATGTAAAAATGAGTCAGTCAAAACTACAAGCGGGTTTTAGCTGCCGGAGAAGTGCTTGATATTACTGGAAATGGAACGCATTGTCCATTGTGGTGGTTTGACCCTGGCCAGCAGCCAGGTGCCCACACAGCCGCTCTGTCACCCCCCTTCTCTGCTAGGCAGGGGGAGAAAACAGAACAAAGGGCCCATGGTTTGAGATAAGGACAGGAAGACCACCCGCACGTACTGTTCTGGGCAAAACAGACCTGATTTTGGGGAAATTAGTTAAATTTTTAAAGAACAAATCAGAGAAGAGGAATGAGAAATAAAATCAGATTTTTAAAAAACCCACCAAAAACAAAAAACAAACCACCTTTCCTCCACCCCTCCCTTCTTTCCGGGCTTAACATCAATCCCAATTTATCCATCTCCTCCCCCCGAGCAGCGCGGCGCGACACCTCCCCCCGAGCAGCGCGGGGCGACAGGGAGTGGGGCTTGTGGTCAGTTCATCCGATGTTGTCTCCACTGCTGCTGCTTCCCCTCGGGGAGGACTCCTCACTCTTCCCCTGGGCCATGGTGGTGTCCCTCTCACAGGAGAGAATCTTCACACACCTCTCTCCAACGTGAGTCCTCTCACGAGAGACGGTTCGTCACAAACTGCCCCAGTGTGAGTCTCCCCACGGGGTGCAGTCCTTCAGGGGAAACTGCTCCAGCGCGAGTCCCCCGCAGCATCTCCAAAGTCCTGCCAGCCAACTGCTCCAGCGTGGTCGTCTCTCTCTCCACGGGCAACAGGCTATGGTAGCAACTTGCTCCAGCACGGGCGTCCCACGGGACCACAGCCCCCTTCAGGCATCCACCTGCTCAAGTGTGGGGTTTTCCACAGACCACAGGTGGACACCTACACCCCGTCACACCCGTGGGCTGCAGGAGGGCAGCCTGCTTCACCATGGTCATCGCCACCACCCGAGGGGCGCTCCGCTCCAGTGCATGGAGCACACCCTTCCCACTGTTCTTCACTGACCTTGATGTCTTGACACAGCCTCACTCCTCTCTCTGCCAGTTGTTGTGTGGCACAGTTCTTTTTTATTCCTCATTTTTTTAAGTATGGTTTCACAGAGGCGTTCCTATCCTATCATTACTGACAGGCTCCGGCCC